GTGAAAAAGGAAGAGAAAAAAATGTTTAAAAAAAAAAGAAACATTTTTAACTTTTGTGGTTTGTATCAATTATGAAAACATGATAATGACCCTTGGGGTATAAGGCAGCTAAATCGCTAATACATACTAAGAAAATAAATTGAAATAAAATAGAATGAATATTAACTTTTTTGTTTGAATGATTTCCAAACTCATGTAGGTAACTAGACTCACAAAATCCAGAAAAAAAGTATAGAATTGTACAGGACTTAGAGAAACATTATGAAAGCTTTATTTCCCTTTCTGGTATATACCATTTGATAGATTTTATCTTTCTGGTAAACCAATAAATCCAGTTTGACCCGATTTTGTGCATTCTGAGTCCTGTTATAAATGAGTTTGAGTTCTAAACTAAAGCATCGCATATGGTAGACTTTTGGACAGGAGTTTGGTTAAAAAAAACATCTTATACACACAGGATTACAATATATATATACTACTATAATAATACCAGCTGCTAAGTACACTTGTCTGCTGAGACAGCTATTTAATTGCTGTTTCAGACATCCACCCAGGTACATTTTTGTTTCTACAACATCCACAGAGCCAACCTGTGGTTTATAAAACAACTATACTGAATCTTAGGACCTTAGTTACTGATTCTTGGAGAGAGCATAACCAGGTATGCTCAACAAGAAGGAACAAAGCCAGTACACTCAAACTTTATATATATACAGGTTGGGTTGGGTAAATTATTGCCATTTTATATTTTTAATTTCATGCATGCACACTGTTTTGTGTTTTAATTTTGTCACCTGCACAGTATAGTAGAATTAGTTGGGCAACATCTGTTACAAAAAGAGCATCATGATGCAATTCACCCTGCCAGAAATTTGAAGACACCATGCTGTAGTGTTTGGCATTTATGCTGGAAGTTCCAATGCAGACATTTCAGTGTGTTTATGAAAATATGGTGGAAAGTAATGTGGCTCAGAAAACTCACTCTGATCCTCCTGAATTTGTTGGTGAGGGCCTCAGACTCAACACGAAGGCCTACATCAAGTGCCTTGAGGAGGTAGTGCTGCCCTGTAAAAAGAGGGTGGTTGCTGGAAGACCATATGTCTGGCAACAGGACTTTGCACCATGCCACACAAGGAGGAGAATCCAGTCATGGCTGTCAGACAATTTCTGTAACCACCTCACCCTTTAAATCTTGCCACCTAATTCCCCAGACTGCAACCTCCTTGTTTATTATGTGTGCAGCACAGTTGAGTGAGAGACCAACAAAAACTCCTTGTAACACTAAAAATTAACTGAAGGCAAGGATTATAGCAGCATTCACCAAATTAAACAGAGTGACCACCCAGAAGAGTTGCAGGAGATGCCAAAGTTGTCTGGCAATTTTATTGAATAAATTTACTCTTTAGTATTTCAAGATATTTTTGTGTACTTTTGGTAAATATATGCATTAATATGAGATTTTTCTGTAATTTAGACAATAATTCATTCATCACGCCCAGCATATCTCAGAAGAGGCATGGTGTGGTAATGGATAGCAGATCAGAGATTGAGGAATTGGCAAGTCAGGTTTGAATTCCAGGTCATTTTGTTGCATTCACTTATGTGCTACTAACCTAGAAAAGATATGAATCCATCCCTTCTCTCCCACCAGCAAGGACAGATTGTTGAAATAGCTAGATGCAACTGTAAGTTCTATTTTATTAGTTTCTTCTCTCCTACTTATCACCTGTTGAATATTTTTTTTTAATTGAGTTCACCCCAAGCAAGCCAGTAAAGCCACAGAGACAATGGGGTTACTGGGTGTGAAAGAATTAGAAAACAGAAACATTACTAAAGACCAAGAATGAAAGGAGAGTAATCAGGAGGACTGTAGATAGGGGTTGACATTGCATTTAAATTTTTGAAGATTAAAGTTGATGAAAAGCACGGAGCCAGAAGAGAGTTTTCCCACATGAGAAGTGCGAGAAAAGAACCTCCTTACAATATCTAGCTTCCCTGCCAAATACAAAAATTTAAAAGCAATGTGAATCACCATCTTCAGTCTTCTTGAATTGTATTATCCTTTCTCCTCACTAAAGTCTTCTCATTCTCATTCAATTTCAGTAACTCCTAGTGTCTTAGGAACATTATTGCCTTGCTTTGAGTGAAATGATTAAAATAAAGAAAAAGAAAGGAAGGAGAATTTCATTGGAATCAAAGGAAAGATTACTCAATATTTCATCATTGCAGCTGGCAGAGGATAGCAACATTTTGTTTATAGTTACTTTGTTCAAACTTTTTTTCCAATAAAATATTGTACATCAATATCAAAGTTATGGATAAACTGTACAAAATTCAAAGTATTTGTTTTATTTTGTCCAAGTACTTTTCATCCTGTCAGTCTAAAGAACTGGATATTATAAGTATGATAGACTAGATTTAGTGGGCTACATGGTGGCACAATTTTTTGGAATGCTAGAATTCAAATTAATATGTTTCCTTTCTTATTATTTAATTTATTATTTTAAATGCATATTAAATATTTGATAAACACTTTAAAATGCTGTCATCTTTATTTCTTATTAATCAAAAAGGAAAACAACCCACATTAAATAGAATATCTTTCACCACAAGGGAGGGTATTTTAAAATGCGTAGGAAATATTTAGCAATTCATATAAAATAATAAAAATACATATAAATATTTGATAAAAATCTTTTCTAGTGCAGTTGATCTGTTGGAAATCATTTTATGGATGATGTCACTTATGTGACATACATACATTTGAATTAATTTGAATATATACAGATATATAAATATGTATATAATATATTTAGGTAGTAAAAATTAATTTAAATGAATTTTGTTAAAATCATAGTAGAAGATCTGTCTAGTCAATTTTATTTTGTTATATTTCTTCAATTTTCCAATAAGATATTGTAAATCAGAAATCAAATTTTGGACAAACTGTGCAAAATTCAAAGTTTTTGTTCTGTTTCATCCAACTATCCTGGGTTGGAAATTGGATATTTTTTTAAAACTTGAAGGGAAAGATCACTAAGAGCAACAAAGGATAGGGAATTGTGGAGAGCCATGTCTTGAATGGGCATGGTACATAAAAATACAAGAAGCAACAGGTTTTTGTGTCAGATTGATATAAAAAAAATAAGGGTTCACAAGTGTTGAAACAAGTGTATATTTGTTAACTGTGTCTGTTAAAATTGGTTTGTTTCATAGATTTTTTTTCAATGTTCAGGAAAAAAATTCAAGGGCAAGTTTATTTATTTATTTTTTAACTTGAAAAGAATCAGTTGACTTATGCATAATTCTCTCTTACTATTATTTTATCAATCTTAGAGAAAGGAAATAAACATGTTGCTCTTTTTGAATAGCTTGTGTTGTTGAAGTGGCAGCAGCAGTGGTCATGGTAGGAGGAGTGTGTTTGAAGGTGGTGGTGGTGGTAGTGTGCATTCATCTTCTAACCTTTCACACAGACATAACATAGTCATTTTACTGCATTACCTTGTCAAACAAGGCGTCTAGATTTTCAAGGGTTATGGCTTACCCACAATATCCTGCAGATCTATCACTGTCACCAGTTTGATTGATCTCCTCAAACACAGTTTTGTATTTCCTCTATGAGTCGGCAGGTTGGACAAGCTTAGGCCACTATTTTCTTGAGATTTCTTCTTTGGCTTGCCTGCTTTTTGGCCAAGATATCTTTTTTATCTCTTGTTCCTTTTACCTATTTGCTTGAATGATCAAAATTTGAGCTTTGTTCAACTACATGCCACTAATATCAGATCTGTTACATTTATTTGTCTTTTTTCATTTCTTTCATTCTGATTGTATTTCTTTCTTTACTTATTCTTTGCCATTTCATCTTGATGTCTTTATAATCATTTGTTCTTGTTTAACCTTGTTTATTTTTCTTATTTTCTGAAATTTTCATGGCATTACTCTTCATTTTTACTGTAAATCTATTTCCTATCTAGCGACATATCTAAGCTTTCTGTTTCCTATCTACCTTTTTATTTATCCAAGTTATCTATTCATCTACCTATCTCAGCTGTCTTTTTTTCTGTATTTATCTAAGATCTATCTATCTATCTATCTATCTATCTATCTATCTATCTATCTATCCAAGTGTTTTTTCCTATTTATCTAAGTTGTATTATCCAAGCTATCTAAGCTGTCTTTTCCCTATCTGTCTATTTGCCTTTTCCTAATCTAAGTTGTCTTTTCTCTATCTAAATTATCTTTTCCATATCTACCCATCCATCTCTCTATCTTTTCCCAATCTATCTAAACAGTATTCTTTCTTTCTTGCTAAGAATCCTTTACTCATTAATTCATTCTTTCTTTCTTTCTTTCTTTTTTCTTTCTATGTTGTATTTTTCAGGTGCAGAACAACTCAACACTGCCAAGTGAGGACCACAACAACTGAACATCAGAAAAACATAACTTTTTTTTATAACTGAATAAAAGTAATTTATTAAGGATTAAAACCTTAATTAGTGAATATTTTTCTTTAAATAAAGCATTTGAAAAGGCCTTATGTCAAATATGAACCATTTTTTTGTTTTTAATTATTTTTAATAAAGTAAATCGTAAAGACATTTATTTTTGAATAAAGTAAATTGACATAAAAAATAATTCAGTAAAACTCGCTTGTTTTTAATTATTTTTAATAAAGTGAATCATAATGTGATTTATTTTTTAAAAACAAGTGTGTTTTATTGAATTAATTTTATATGTCAATTCTTACTTTGGAGAAGGCAACAAAGAATCTCTCAATTATCTTTTCCAAGAAATCATAATAATTTACAGATAATATGGAATAGGAATTTGTGGAGACCTATGACTACCTATGTCCAGAAAGTACATTATGTTTAAAAATAATATGGCATAAAAATATCTGTAAATATATAAGTATAGTTAATAAATAAAAAAAAATTGTTCAAATGGCTTGTCTTCCAATTTGAAGTTTCACAGAAACAATTTCTCACTTGTCAAGGGCTTATGTCCATATCACATTGAAACACCAGTTCCCATACAATCACCAAAGTTAAGCAATGTTAAGCCTGATCAGTACCTAGATGAGTGACTGTATAGGAATACTAAGCTTTGATATGCAGGTGGTGAATTTTTTTTTAAACCATTTCATCCCAAGCAAGGCAGGAGTGCCACTAGTATACAAGGAGTTACAGAGAGTGGAAGCAAGAGTAAAGAGGCGTGACAGAGGAAAGGATGAAGAGAAGGATGGGTAATTGATCAAGGCATCTGATGTAATGGAATAACCAGTCACCCCCATGAATGATTAAACTATAGGTAGTAAGTACCTATAAAGTCAACTGTCTACGAGAGACTGGAGAAGAGTGAGAGAGAGATGATTCAAGCATGTTCGACCTTCCAATTAGTGGCACTCACTACTAGATTGACCTGTGTGTATAACTGTACTGTATTTCATATTGTACTAGTTGTGTACAATAAACCTTTCTTCTATTATCCACTTGGTGTTAAGTATTTATTCCCTTAACACGGAATATAACAGCATCTGAAGATGTCAGCTGATATTTGAATAATTGAAGATTATAGCTATCAGGGAAGTAAGTAAGAGGAAGGGAGTTCCACAGATGGGAAGTGTGAGACATGAAGCTATTGGAGTAGAAGAGATGGCTACATTTAACAGTTTTGACAGTGAAAGGATGGGACTGAGATGCCATCCTAATAGCATACTTAAATTAAAACAGTTTGGCAACCAGCGAAAGTAGCTCGTCAGTTCAGTTACTATGAAAGTATTTGTAGAAAAGACAGAGGGAGGTGACAGCATTTCTGAGAGATGGTAATATATCTTAGAATTGTTAATCAGAGAGCCGAGTTCCAATTCCATTTGGGTGCTTTATATTCACTTACATGCAAATATCCTTGAGAAAGGTATGAATCCACCTCTTCTCTCCCCAGCTATGGGTTAATTAGTAAAACTTGTATCATTATTACCTCAAAAATATTCTTACAATCAAAAAATATTTTCTGGTTTTAAATAACCTGTAAAGGGTTGATAAACCATAAAAAATGAATGTATCAATGAATGACTAGTCAGGGTAAGATAAATCTCTTGGACATTTATCTTATACTGATGAAAAAAATGGTGTCTCTGAAAAACTTCCAGTAAGAAGTTATTTGAACTTTTATTTTTCTATTAACTCTCAAAAATCTGCATGCCTCTAGTAATTTATTGGTCAACAGGTTTTTTGTTGGTGTTAACAATCTTGAATATTGCTATTATTTTTAGATCCAACTATTCAACTTAGCTTGATTTAAAACACACTCTATGGCCGAGCTGTTCTAAAGCACATTAGATGTAATGATAATTTCTCTTGCCAATGGGGATGCAGGTTCAAATCCTGTTAGAGAGCACATTTTTTTATTTAATAAGATTTCTTTAATATCCAGGCCAGGAGATGAAAATAAGTAAATATACTGTTTAATAAATATATGTAGTGTTTACTTACATATGGGTAACCAAAAAATAACATTTAAGAAAAAAAAATATGATATCTATAGTCACAGATGTTTATTAAATATTGTTCTGCTATATACTTAATCTTTGGATTGATATTTCTCGTTTTTTTAAATGTTTGTAGTTTCAATTGTTAATTTGATATTTCCTTGTTTTTTGTTGTTTTTTGTACTTTTCCTTTAAATTTCTTTTATCTTTTTTTTTTTTTTAATGAAATATGTAATGAAGATCTGTTCAAAGGTGACTAAAACCTGCTTTTATGGCAACAACCTCCTCATCAGGCTGTTCATGATGTGAAGATGCCTTCTATCATTGCATGCAGGTTTCATTTTCTGTATATATGGAGAAGATTACTTGCATTTTTAAGTTGATATCTCAGATATATCAGCAGAACAGACCAATATCCATGTTCGTATCAATTTGATATTTCCTTGTTTTTTGTTGTTTTTGTACTTTTCCTTTAAATTCCTTTCATCTTTTTTTTTTATCTCTTCTCCACTTTTCTATTCCTGTTCTTCTTCATCTTCATGTCTATATCTCTAGTTTCTGTCTTTACATATTTTATTTTTCCCACCATCTTTTTGTATCTTTTTCAAGGGACATGACCTTGAAAAAAAAATAATGGCATATAAATATCTGAATATATTTAAAACTATTTAATAGATAAATAAAATTCAAATGATTTATCTCCTGACTTAAATTTTTACAGAAATATCACACTGCTTGTTAGGGCAAAATGAATTCATGCAATTTATTGACATATCATATTTATTTATATTATATTTGTCAATATAATAGATTTATTGCTGCCATGCATGGCACCAAACCTGTTCAAAAATATCTAAAATGTCAGCTGTATACAGCCTCTTTCTCAGATCAATGGTTAAAAATGGTTTTGAGAGAGTGAAGCCTGTGAGTTTTTCCACCCCATGGACTGGTAATACAGATTCAAAAACAAAGAACTGTATCAAATAAGAGAAACCACATCATTTGAGAAGTTTCAACAGCAGCAACAACTAAAGTGAATATCACATGTAAGTTGGAAATAATGACTTAATAAAGATGGTGATGTTCTACACTACTTCAAATAAAAGCTTAGGAAGGAAATCTCTATCAACATTGGAAAGAGACCTAACAGATACTGGACATGAAAAAACTATTTCATTGAAAAACTGTATTAAGAGAAAGATTTTATAAATTTCAACCTAAAGTAATACTGGCTACTTGGTCAACGAATGACAACTGTTTTCTTAGAAGGAAACAGCTAATATTACCATTACCCTGGCAAGCTGGGATGGTGTTTCTGTAAAATTTCAACTCAGAAGATAAGTCATTTGAACTTTTATTTCTCTTGTAATTATTGATACTTTTTTATTGCTTCTTTCTTTTTCTTTCTTCACATAGATCTTTTCATCAGTTTTTTCTCTCAACTCCTCCTTCACAGTCAACTACTCATCCTCAAACTTTTCTTTTCTCCTTCCATCTTTTAAGTAGCCTCTTGTCTTGATATACAGATTAAGTTTTCTTTTCTCTTCTTGTATTATACAATGTACAGGTGGACATAAAAACTCGCAACAGATTTTTATGTCCCTAAGTGTCAAGGAGTTGTTGGTGATGAAATATGTAATGAAGATCTGTTCAAAGGTGACTAACGCCTGCTTTTATGGCAACAACCCCCTCATCAGGCTGTTCATGATGTAAAGATGCCTTCTATCATTGCATGCAGGTTTCATTTTCTGTATATATGGAGAAGATTACTTCCATTTTTAAATTGATATCTCAGATATATCAGCAGAACAGACTAATATCCATGTTGGTATCCATGGAAACACAACTCAGTCACCTAGCTTTATGCATGTACAAACCCAATCAAAACCACTTTTTATATATATATATATATATATATATATACACACAATCATATTTCAGTAGGTGCTTTGTTTATTTATTAAAGCGTATATCTGTCTATATTTCTGAGATGTAGGTATTATGTATATTATTTACATTATATCAGACTATTGTCCTGATCTTTGTTGCCATATTTATCACAATGTTTCAGCTGATGTATGCTCTGCCCTTCTTCAAGTTTTTGGAATGCCAAACTGAACCCTTTATTTCGCTTGCTGGGGTAGACTGTTCTAGTTCCATGTGCCATGTCTAAGGCAGTAGAGAACTTGGAGAGGGGAATTAACAGAAGATAACTGACATCCATTGGAATGGCATGTGGAACTAGAACAGTCTATGTCAACAAGCAAAATAAAGGGTTCAGTTCAACATTCCAACCACCGGAAGAAGGTCAGAGAGTATATTGGCAGAAACGTTCTGATAAATATAGCAAAAAGATGAGGACAATAGTTCAAATAATGTAAATAGTGTAAACCATATATATATTTATTTTTGTCTACTGACCTGAATATTTGAGAAATCTTATTAAAGAAAAATTTCTACCCTCCAGCAAAAATCAAACCTGCATCCCTCAAGAGAGAAGATGCTACCACCTTTAGGCTCAGTATGCCTTACCAATTTGGCAAACTTTTGGGCTTTTTTCCTGTTATAAATTTCTCAGTTTTTTTATATACAGTTTCATATCCAAACATAAACAAAAAGAATTTTTTAGAATGCGTTTTTTATTAATCTGACAGATTTTTATCACTTTAAATGTTATTTTTAGTGAATACTTGTATTTGAGTGGGTACTCCGCTTATTTATCAAACAGTATATTTATTTATTTTTGTCCACCAGCCTGAATATTCAAGATGTGTATGTGTGTATTTCTAAAGAATTAATGGATTTTATTTTTAATCCAACATTTTTATGACTTCAAACATTATTATAATAGTTATGCGTATTTGAAATAGACATCTCATTTTTATTTTTATTTTAAACACAATTAGTTTGCAGATTTGGCTGATTTATTTTTTATAGTCTATCCAACATTTGCAGGTTATTTAAAGCCAGAAAATATTTTTGAGTTGTAAAAGTGAGATGTTGTGAGTTTCCCACGTGTCGGTGTATGAATCAAGACAAACACAGTTGTAGAGGAAAATACTGGTATATTCATAAAAGCAATTAACAATAGAGTGATTAGTAGAACGAAGATTGGTGAGTACGAAACAATATCCAAAGTCTATAGTCCAACGGTATGTACCGGGTAAGCTTATCTGGACTGCTCACGCTGACTCTCTCTCTCTGACGCTCTCTCACTCTCTCTCTAGAGCTGACTTATATAAGAGGGACCAGTCCATTACTCGTTAGAAGGTGGGTGCGCCCCAACAAAAAGTTTTGTTTGAGTTGATAATGATGTATTGATACAAGTTTTACTATTCAACCCATAGCTGGGAAGAGAAGAGCTGGATTTATACCTTTTCAAAGGGTATTTGTAAAAGTGAATATAATGAAACTGACTGGAATTAGAACTCAGCTCACTGATTTCCAATTCTGAGCTGGTATCCATTACACCTTCCGTACATCTAAGCTTACAGCACCTGGTATTCCCAAGAAGTCATCCATCTAGGTACTGACCAAGGTTGATGTTGCTTAACTTTGGTGATTGTACAAGGTTGTCTCAACATGACATGGCTCTAAGTCCTGCACATTCTAGA